AGAGTTAGAAACGTTGACCTCTCATTAGCAGAACACTCCTGGCACTGAAGATGAAAAATCTACTTTTTTAAAAGTATTTTTTTCCTCATCATGGTGCCATAGAAAAAATCCTTTTACCTTGTTTTTATTCTTCAGGATAACATAATGATCGACTTTTCCAAACCGAAGTCCCACACAAACTGCTTCAAGTTCTCTGTACCCGTCGTTCGGCAAGTTCCCAAGATGCACAAACTGATGATGGATAGTTTCAGTATTTACCTGAAGAAAAGGGATGACAGCACTTGCTTTAACTGTGTAACGTGCTTTATTGGGGAAGCCTCCCAGAAAGCTGCTCTGTCACTCGGATCTCATGGAAAAAGAGTGTTCACACCCCCCAAACATTCACATTCTCATACTCACATCGGATTTCCCAGTTTCCTGTGTACTACACCAAAAGAACCAGCTCTACTTCCCAGTAACAAATAACCAACTTGAAAGGATCAAGTTGAGAGTCTGATTTTAAATTATAATTAATTTTTTTAAACTAGTACAAGTCTCTTTAAGGAACACTACAAAATACAGCTGAAGTTTAAATAAAACTCACTATTTTGAAAAGCAGACACTATCCAGTCAGATCACAAATAGGGGAAGGCACAGAAACCTACCCAAGAGACTCCAACCCTGGTTTTCAAGTTGGAGTTTGATTTACTCGATCAGTTTGTAACAACACAAAGAACCTTGGGCAAAGATCACTTCCTGTGTTCCTCACTTTTCAAACAGAGTTATCACCACCACCACCACAGGGACAGACTACCAGAGAGACCAGTGAGCCTCTTCTGACCAGGATTCTGGTGCGGAACGTCCGAGGGGGCTGACAGCGAACCAAAAGCCATCACCAGCCACGCAATGCCAGCAGAACCGGAGACAGATCCCTGGCACCAAAGATTTTGTGCAGGATCAAAGGGAAGGCCCCGGGACACAAAGTCCAAGGGTGCCAGCAGACCTCCGAAATCTTAAACAAGTCTTGTCCTTGGATACTTGAAAGCTGCATGTCTTTTAGGAACACAGCACTCACTCCCAGCAAGCAAGAGATTTTTTTCCAGCCCTCTCTGGGTCTGGTACGTTTTTCTTCCATTATTCATGACTTGACCAGGAGCAGAGCAGAAGTGCAAGGAGGATACGGCAGCGGGGGCGGTGGCAGTAAGCACTCCGATGTGTCTGCTAGCGCCAAACAACCACCTCAGGGAGAAAGCAGATATTCCCCAGACACGTTTGCAACTGAAAAGTCAAGCCTTTGGGGGTTTCTCGTGGTTTGTTGTTGGCAGAGCTCTCTGCAATATGCGTTTTGCCCAAACACAGTTCCCTTGAGACACACATTCAGACCCAATGACCGATGCTCTAACAAGAATATCCTGGAAGTGTTTGTCACCGCAGACAGAAAAGCTGCCGTGTCATTAACCTCTTCCTACCCACACTGGCCAAAAACGCTCGGCACGTCAACTGCCAGCTTGTGCTGCGGGCAGTGAGGGAACAGGAGGGACAATAAGGGAGACCCACTCCACTGGACAGAGCACAGAGGCAGTTTTGATAGTTAAACCCAAATCTCTGTCTATAGAACACCCTGGGAACACGGGTGGCCTTCTATCCAGGCAGACACTGCGCGTTCTCCAAGCTGTAATGGTCAACAGCTTGTTGGGAGAACATGAAAAAACCATCACAGAAGGGGAGGGTCTCAAAGGACTCCCATTAAATGTTTAATTCCTTGTGCTTCATGCATCATGGAGCTAAACTGAGCATTTGCTCATCCATTCCCTGCTCATCTGCCCATGAAAACATACACAAACATTTAACGCAAGAGAAAGCTTAGCTAACAATTCCATTAGCTAGTATTTCAGCATGACGGATACTCATGAGAATTTAATGTATTTTGACAGCAAGCAGAGGAGGGAGAAGTTAAGACTGCTACCAACTTACCTGAGGGTCAGAATCTTTAATTATAGCAGTAAATATTGCTTCCTTTAAAAAAAAAAAGAAAAGACATTATAAGATTTGAACTGTAAAATACAGCATCACTAGCAGCAGCTCACCGGCAGTCACTGACTCCCAACAGCTTTTAAGTTTTGCTTTATTAATAAACTCAACAGCATCGACACTTCTGACACCTCTGTTATTCGCGTCTCACAAGACCACGACCCAAAAAGACATTTATCAGAATGAGTTTTCAATGGGACAAACCATCAGAATGCATAAATCAGGCCGTGTATGAAACCAGCGTAAACACAAAATGCTCCCCTGTACAGAAATGGTACCACGTGTCCTAGAATTTCAATATATTTGTTACTTACCTCATCTTTTATGGTCTTACACTGAGGCGCCATGTTGATGCAGAGCTGATTTCCATCCAGCGAGATCGGAAAGCAGGTATAAAATCTAACCATGGAATCTGCAGATTTTCTGTTTATTTCGATATATGCCTTTTAAAATAAAGAAACATTTTTTTAAAACCCTGTAATTGATCAAAAGCATCTCATGTCAAACGTTTGCCGCGCTACATTATCACATCCGCATTTGTTAAAAACACATTTGCTGCTTTCCCTAGGTAGAGACAACTCAAAGCGATTCGAGTACCTTCTTATGAGACGATAGAATCAGTACGTCCCGCAGCCTGCCGAAGGGCTTGGCAAGGTTGGAAACCTCCTCAACACAAAATGCTTTCTCAGGCAAGTTTGAAATAAGAACCACGCATACATCCTCGAGTTCCTGTAAACAAATGGAAGTAAATATTGCTGATATTTCACCTCTACATCACAGCTGCTCTGTTACCGAAGGGAGCGTTTAGCTTCAATACGCAAAGCCACCAGTAAACTGAAGGAAGCACTTGTTTAAGAGCAGCTTGTAATCCGTGCAATTACATCAAAACCCAAGATCGTTTAAACCTTTTGAGGATGATCAGAGCAGATAGGGGCTTTGGTGGAAGGAACAAACTCAGAGGGGAGGAAAAAAAAAAGCCAGAAGAATGCAGCGGTAGATGTCAAATCACAAAGAGCAAGGAGAGAATAACCTATCCAGTATTTCTCCCACGAACTTAACGTGCAGGGGGGTTAAATCGGAGGTTTTCAGGCAGCGCCCCGAGTCTTGGAAACCAGCGCCAAGTGTGTACTCACAGCTTCAAGCACCTTTGGACTGACCTTTTTAACTGGTTCTGTTGATGCTTCACTCTTTATAGTCGCTATCGTAGCTACAAAAAAAGAGGGAGAGGGTAGTTTAGTAGGGCAGCAGATCTCTCTAAGGATTGGAGAGCTTTAGGAACTGCTGGCATTACATGAAATATTCCTTCATTCAACTCACAGCGACAAACGACACTGCTGAGACACACGCAGTGTTATGTAAACGCTTCCAGAAAGAATGGCTTTAAGTGGTGATTAAAAAAATAATTAAAGTCCCTTAATTAACATGCAAACTCTTTGCTGACATGAAGACTGAATAATCACAACCAGCAGACCTTCTTGTGGGCACACAGGGACTATGGGGGTACCCAGCATGTGCCCACACAATTTTTTTTCCTGGGACAAGTCCGCAGGGATGTGTGGTTTGTGTTTCAGTCTGTGAACTTAGTATTAATCATTTTTTTTTCTGCCATCCTGTGTCATCCTGATTTCCCAGCCTCAAAAGCACTCTCATTTAGATCACAGTAACAGAGAGGTTAGGAGAGACACGAGGAAAACTGTCAGTTTGCATTTACCTTGAGCAGCTTTATTATACTCCTCCGAGTCCAGCGCCGCCACCTGAGGTACCTGTGCAGGAGTCTCTAAAAAATAAATTCAAGAAGACATCACAACGTCAAACTTATAACTTCCAACTAGCAAAGTCCATTAAAAACAGCATTGTCGCATGGGAATTACCCGGGGCAGGTGCAGGATTAGTGGCTCCGTGGGACTGGGTCTCCACTGCCTTCCCAGGCTCTGTCGCTCCGTCCCCTCCCATAACGCTCCGTGGGTCTGACAGCTTTGTTTGCCCACCTTCTGTTTTGGCTTCTGTCGCAATCTGATCATCTGCAGATTTTGCTGGTAGGTAACAGCAGAAAACAGCATTCTTCATTTCAATATATTAAACTAATTAACAAGAACAAGCAGCACTAGACATTTTTCTGCCAGACATTCGGAGGCCTCCTACCCCCTGAATTCCTGCTCCTCAGTACAAACGGACACAAAATGGACATACGGGAAAAGCTCCTTCCAGCTTGGCAGAACAACCGCGTGGCTGGGAAAGGGTCTGCTTCCCAAACTCACCCCCCTTCCCTCGTCCTTGCTCTTCTACCAACAGCACTGCTAATCCTCCCCAACAACCTCCCACGCTGTGTTTTCCAAGGAAAAAGTTCTCCATTGTCTTACCCGCAGTATTTGAAGTTTTCCTGGTTTTACTGTCTCCTGTTGTCGATTTCTTGGTCCGTACTTTTTTACCTACGTAAAATACCCAAGGCCAAGTCAGTCAGTAGAACTGCTTGTTTCTTAAATCTTACATTTGTGAAGAGTATAAAAATACCTACAAAAACAGCTGAATCTGCAAAAATTCAACAGATACGAGAAAAGAGTCACCAAACCTAAAACCTAAGCTAATTCCAACAAACTACGGGATGAAAGCCATGAACTAGGGTCTGTTGTGAATTTGTTTGGCATTCTGGGGGGAAAACCTTGCTCCTGCAAAAGCATTTGTGCTCTCTTTCTTTTGAACGGCTGTGAACGACTCACAGTTTCCATGTGTGAGAGCTCTGAAGTGCGCAGTGACGGGAATCTGAATTCCTTCTGGAAACTGGATTCGGAAGTGACCGCGCTGACAAATGAATCAAGACCAACACATCTTTCAAAAGCACCATTTCCCATCAAAATGATGCCTGGTCTCTAACTGCACTCTGAAAAATTTCTCATGAAAGCCAATAAAACAACAGCCCTATGATTTTTTTGGTTGCTTATTTCCAATGTCTCAATAATGCCAAATTTTTGTACAGTTCCATTGGCTTTTGATATATTTCCTGTGGTTTCTCCTGTTTTCATTGAAGTACTTAAAAAAAAAAGCCAACCAAAAATTTCTCTGACAGCATGACATACAAATTTTTCTGCCAGACGAAGCAATAATAATTGAAATAATTTGTCAGAAGCAACAGAAGACCAGGGCAGAACTTCAGAAGCATTTGGAACGCACACGGAACGTCAGACACGGAGAAGCACCAGCAGTAAGGGCGACAGAGAATATGAAATATATTATACATCAGGCTTAAAGCCAGCTTGAAGAATTGCACTTGTTTCTGGGAGCCCAAAGTGCCACATTTCTCTCCAACAGATGGGGCAAACACTTCCGAGAACAAGCACAGGTGGAGGTGGGTTTTCCTTGCTGCTTGAGGGCTGGTTTTGTGGGGGGTTTTTTAAAAGAAAGAAAGATAGGGTTACATGAAAAGGAAGCCATTTGAAAGTATAAACTTGGTGTTTTCTTGTAGCTCTCTGAACTTGCTTTCAGTCCCCATCAGGAAAAGCACTCGCATAAAAACAAACGGGAACAAAGGGAAGGCAGTACCAGAGGCACCACCAGAGAAAACGAACCAAAGCCTTACCCGGAACGGATTTACTTGTCTTACTGGTGCTTTTCTGATCTTTTCTAAGAAAAAAATAAAGAAAAAATCAGTTTTAAAGACAATTAATGAATATTGAAACAGCTAAAAAAGCTCAAAAACAACAAAACATAAGCAACCAGATATGAGCCCATTTGGTTTCCAGTCTTTGTAACGAACGCCAACGCGCACAACGGCAACACTTACTTTGTACTTCGTGGGACTTTTTTAACGTTCTGAGACCGCTTTTTTGTATTCGCTTTGGCCTGGAATGGACAGAAAGAAAAACTTTTACTGCATTATTTAGACTTTATTTATAAATCTCTGTATATAGAGATATAAAAATAGTATTAGCAATCATTAATAGTAATTCAGTGTACATCTATTAATATAGGTTGCATCTTTCACTGTTAAGCTGTGATTAACAAATACCAAATTTAACCAAGGAAAACAGAAAACTGAGTTAGGCATTTGCATATTTATTTTAGACTGCTGTTTATGAAAAAGAAATTAAAAATATATTAAAACTATTAAATCTATTTTCCTGGAGAACATCAGGGTTTGGAGCAAAACACCAAGCTCCACGCAAAGTATCCTGTTCACCAAGAGGCTGCTGACCTGGCCAGGAGGTGCTTTTGGCTTTTCTGCGACGCTTATCTTCACCCGTTTCCCATTGAGCAGCACTGGCACAGTTTCGCCGTATTTCACAGCTGCTATCACGGCTTCTTTGTAGTTCATCTCCAGGAAGGCCTGAAACACACAGCACCTGCAGTCTTTATTCCCGTTACAGGCACGAGGTACAATCTGCTGCAGTTTTTCCTGAGCAGATCTGCTCACGACAGAACTGCACATACTTCTTCAAGTTTGATGAAAAAGTCTGGATTTCGGTATTATCTAAAAAGCATCCTATTCCTCTAACATTTCACACTTCAGCAGCAAGCAAGACTGAATGTATCAAGTTAAGATTCCCAGCTATTCCAAGATTACGTATGTGACCTTTAATGACAAACTGTTTGGGAAGCCTTGTCCTGTGTTCAGCTCAGGATCCAAACGTCACCCTTTTTCATTGCTTGACAATGTATTTTGCATTCTGACATAAACAATTTTGTACAGGAAAACTTACCTCATTGCTAGAGCGAAGGACAAGGAGATCGCTAACTTTGCCAAACGGCTGAACGATTTTTTTAATATCTTGATCTGTATAGCCATCATCTGGTAAATCAGATATTTGAAGGACTGTCCCACAACTCAGCAATTCATCGCGCAACAGCTACGGAATGAAAACAAGACTTGGAAAGTGTTTTTGTTAAGTCCAGTCAAAGGAAGAAAAAAGAATCTGTAATATAAATTACTTCAAAGCAGACAGACTGCTTAGTTCATGGTGGTATGCTGAGCTGTTTGCTTTTTAACACAGGACGGAGCCACAGTCGTGTTGTTTCACCCCTCTGTCTCCACGGTCAGCTGTCAGAAGACATGGCACAGGATTACCCAGCACCACAGAATGACCTTTTTGTTTTTATCAGGTACCATGGATCCACACAGCTCCAGCTGCCTGGGCTGCACGGGGAAGGAGCTGCACAATTCCACTCCTTTTGGTACTACAGTGTTCTCTTCGCTTGTCATTTAGAGGCTAGAAACTACCAAGGACAATTGTATCGACCACAATTAAAATATAATCCAGGTTACAGGTGGTTTTTCAAAGAGATTCAAGTGGGCAGTACGATGGAATATGACAATTCTGGCTTAAGATCCTTCTTACAACAGTAATAAATTTCTCTGCCTCATCTTTTTTGCTTGACAGCGCAACATGAACACTTTCTGCCTCCTGTCCTTTACTTTTACCGACACAAGCAGCTCCTCCAACCAGAGCTCACCACTCACAGTTGATACAAACAAGGACCCAAATTTAATGGACGGTTCTTTTTGCTGCTGTAAAGCGCTGGAGAGGTTCTGCTTCATGCCTATTAAAAACCCTCGCTGCATACATCACCACACTTACCTGCAGCCAGGAAATCTTGGCATTAAGGTGTCAGAGAATCGGCAAACAGAATGGTTAATCTTTCCACAGTGATCCCCCTGAAACGATCCACTAACCAAATCCCTCAAATCACAGAGGAAACCATTAAGAAACTCACCCTATTGTAAGGAGCAGGATGAGGCTCGCTGGTTCCTGTGGATGCATCTTCCTCATCCTCTTCCATTTCTTCGCTTTGGGGTAGCTCATCAGTTTCAGGAGAGGAAGAACTGGACTCGGACAAAGAAGGCACGCCTTTCTTGGAAGGCTTTCGAGAAACACTTGTTTTCACTGGCTTCTTCTTATTTGCAGGTACCTTCCCCGTGGGTCCAGGTGGTGATTTTCGTGATCCCGAAGATCCTTGCCCAGAGGACTGAAGTGACTTGTGTTTATTGAACTCTGCCACAAAGCCAGGTCCCAAACTCTTCACTACAGCCTCCAGAGTTGCCTTCCTGTCTGGGATGGGAAGGGAAAACAAACTGTTTGTTTGTTTTGAAAATAAACTTAGACATATTGTTTGGTTTCTTGCAGTTTCAGTTTCACCACCCACTCCCAATTCCATTTCAACACTCACTGAACTGAGAGAACCTTAACCACACTCGAGCAGAGCTGGCTCGTAAATCACACCAAACCTCTGCACTGCTTTCACTGGCCTGTTCTGAACAGACAATCACACACTGGCAAGGACATCTACAAAAATCCTAATGGCTGGAGCAAAAGAATAATTGCTTAATTTTGTATACCAGGGAATGTAAGAAAAGCAAAGCAGATTTCAAGAACCTGATCCTCCTCTCACACACTGATGTGCAGCAGTACTTACTATCTCGATGCCTTCTGCTAAAATCTGCATCCTTCTCTGTCTCGCTCTTTGTCCTACAGACTGCTGGTTCAAATTATTCGTTAACGATCTGATACAACATAATTTCCTGTACATTTTCTTTCTGTGAAAAATTTATATCTTGGTTATTAATTGCTTCTGCCTCTCATCCTTCCACAATAAAATGGTTTGCATTTGACCCTGGAGAAGACCTCTCTGAAGCTGCCTGGCCCTTCACCCCTTTCACCTGTACTTCTTCCCCACAAGAGCTCAGCACCACTTCATTTTCTGAAAGCATACAAACAACACAGCCACAGCATACAGATCAAAGAAAAAAAAATCAACCTTTTCAAATTCCTCTGTTTTTTTTCTCTTCAGAATTTAAAAAGAAATAAACTGCAAATAAACTGGTACTTCAGCCAGAGATTGAAGTCAAAATCATCGAATCCCAGGATGGTTTGGG